ACCCCCCTCTGTTGTCATCAAGGTGAGCCAAGCGCGCTGCCGCTTCAGGTGCAGGTGCTCGGGTCAAATTACGCGCATTTTTAAGAGAGACTAGTAACTCTTGTGTCCAAAATGGTCACTCCACAAGCCATTTTCTTGCGCATTGTGCCAGCGGCATTCAAGAGATGGATAATGCTTGTTAAGTCTGACAAGACTGCATTTGTTTTGGTCCTACACTCGTCTGAGAAGTTATCATTCAACCCCCTTAAAGGGCGCAATTGAGAAGCGGCGGCGTTTTCATTGCGACTTTTTGCTTTGTCCTCTCCAAAGTGGCGTCTGCATGTCTGACTCTGCCAGTTACTGATTTGCAGGCAGTATGTTAAGATGGTCCATGTAAGTGATTTCCACGGGCATCCCACTAAAGGAGAACAAATCGCTGACAAAGGAGCGCCTTTCCCATTCAGCAGCGTCGTTAGGACAACCAAAAAGTATTTCTCAGATAATAAGTTCTACTTCAAAGCGTTTCTCACTGAAGGGTGACTGCTTCACTCCTTTTATTAAGTCTCCCCTCTTTTAATGGCGAAGGAACAGTCTCTGGTTATTTTTCATCGTGTTTATTTTGTAACATTCATTGAGCACTTGTTTCCAAACAGGACCTACAAGAGCAGGCTACTCTTGAGGCCCGTACCCCTATAAAAGTTCATGCACAAAACGAGAGGAGGGCCACGAGTGCTTTGACTTTGAATGCAGCAGTACATAATGTGTTTTGTTTTTTTAAAGAAGGCCTTAGAAGGCGCTTATAATGCCCTATTTTACAACTAGATCGACCTGCAGTTGTCTTTTATTAAAATCTGTCATTCTGCTGAAGTGGTTCTTTTCTTAGGCTGTAAAATTAACTTAATACTTGAGACTGTTCGCACTCCAGTGCTGATTGTGTGCGTTTTATGGCCACAGCCTTCCAAAGCTGACCCGAGTCAAGTGCATCCTAATTGACGCAGTGTTGAAACCCAGAATACGTTTCAAGGTTATTACAAGGTGTACATTTATACGAAAGTCCCTTTGCTTTTTTCCTTTTTGACTTTGTCCAGTTCTCACCAGGCAAATGGAGCTTATTTGTCATGAAGCTGCCAACAGTATATTTGTAGAAACCAACATTTCTGGAGGGGGTGCATTTTGTGCTTTGATTGTTGTTCACTTAGTGGTAGTTTGTGTTTTTCAGCCAGACATACCCAGCTACCCAAAATGCCACAGAAATCCTAACACACCATGAAGACTGTCAAAGCGACCAGCCTTCCTCTCAGAAGCTGCAGCCTTTGAAGTGGTGCAGGACTCGCGTTGGTCAATTCTAATTCTATAGACTGGACAGGCAACTCTTTGAAAGTGAGATTGTGCGTTTTAATGGAGGAAATAAGAGGGGGAACTTGTTTTATACACTCTATACAAGGCCTTGCTTATTGTCACATATCTTTTATCTTTTATTTTCCCATGAATGATTCATGCATAGGCTGCTTTGAGCTGTCGCGCCTTTCAGAGGTAGCGCCATCAGGGGGCTATAGGTTTTTCCATTAGCTCAGTGATTAGTTTATACCAGCCTCCTTGGCCCGTTAGGCCTGCTACTGAAGTAAGTGGATATTTTCTAAAAATGTCAAGGAGTGAACAGAGCTGCTTCTACTTTTGAGGTGAGACTGACATTGGTGTTTTGTTGTCTCGTATTTACACTTCAAATCAAGTGTAAATCTTAAGTATATTTTTGAAAAAGCCATAATCCAGCTAAGGTTGTTCTAATAGTCCATCTAATATTTTCTGATGTCTAAAATATTGAATGCAATTCGCCCATCATAATGATTTGACACTTGTTAATTATTGCTGTATATGTCCTTGTAATTTTTTAATTATTGTATCAAGAGTTTATATTTAAATTAAAATTTGAACATCAAGATTCTGCACAATCTTTTTTTTTGTCCATCATGTGCAATGGCACCATGCAACTCAAAGAGAAAGACAAATAACTACAAAAGGCATGCAAGAAAGGGACTTTTCACATTACACAGCCTATTCAAGTAAATGTTTTCTTCTCTTACAGAACACAATTAAAATATATATATTTTTAAAAAATTTAAAAATTGGGGGGTAGACAAACAAAAAACATCAGCAGGGTACAACGCATCACCAAAACTGATATTATTATTCTTTGGTGTTTCTGTAATTCCAGTACAACACTGATACCAGCAAATAAATTACAATGTACAAAACAACATTTTTGTAATTAAAACTACACAACATTCACGAGCATCATCAGTACAGTTACATATATACAAATTCTACAGGGTCAAAGCCTGTCAGTGTAGACATTTAGGGTCTCAGGGGACTTATTCCTACTCTTTAACGAGCTATTGTGCATAAAATATAGACTTAAATAGTTCTTAAATATTACAAAACTCCATCCAAACACATGTATTGTATAAATCTGAAAAGGTAAATGAGAACCCTTAAGACACCCAGATGTTTGCCTCCTCTTTTTCCCCCTTGCTGGATTAAATGTGTACCACATCTTTAGAGAAATCACATGAAACAAAAAGCTCTTCTTCTACAGTTTGTCCATTTACTATTTGTTGCCATTAGTGGTGTTTACAAGGAGTACCATTTATTTTCCTTGACAGTGATTGATACCAGGCCAGTTATTACACTGCAAGGGGATGATGGGAGGTCACATGAAACGTGTCATTTCAGCACCCCACTTGAGTCTTAAGACATGCAGTTAATTCAACCCTGCTTATTGCTTCTGTTAAAAATGATTGTTCAGTTTGTCTAATCAAATTCTCTCACTTTGAACTTTTTGGTCCTTTCAAACAAGAAGCAAATAAGAAGCTTTTTTAAACTTTTCATATCGAGCTACGCTTTACAGTAGGTCGGGGCGTCACATCAGAGACATTTCTTCCACCTGTAATTAGGCCAGCATTGCATCCACGATAAGTGTGTTATAGCTGCGTTTAGCACAAGTCATTTAATAATATTACAGTGAAAACAGCTGATCGATATCCCAAGCGCACGGGCCAGCATGGATCTGTTCGTTTAGATGAGTCAGCTATGTGACAAGTGTGACAGTCCGTTGGTTGTAAACGGGCGTCAGAGCATTGTCCTTGGGTCTGAATTTCTGAAAGAGTCCTCGTCGTCTGAATCTGACGTCGGCACATCGCTGGAGGGGGTGTGGAGGTGGTTGGGAACTCCGCTCCCCTGGCATACATACCACTCGTTGAGGTTGCTGACCTGAGGGGAAAGGTTCGCAGAGCGGTTTCTGTGCGGCTCAGAGTTGGACGAAAGAGGGTCTCCGAGAGGGTTTGTGGAGGAAATGTAGGTGACGTTGGTGGAAGGGGGCGGCGGGGACTTGCAGTGCACTTTCATGTGCTTCCGCAGAGAGCTGGGGTGTGTGTACGATTTGTCACAGCCACGGACTTTGCAGTAGTAAGGCTTGTCACTGGTGTGGACGTGAGAGTGTTTCTTCCGGTCGCTGCTGTTGGCGAATTTTCTGTCGCAGCCGTCAAACTCGCACTTGAATGGTTTCTCTCCTTAAAAAAGAAGAAGAGGGAAACAGATACAGTTAGTATCATGTGCACACGGTCAGTAATGTCACTGCCTCAAAAACTGTCATGGAAGTGTCCCTCCGTGGGTTTAAACACACATCACAAGTTTAGAACGCAGGATAAATGTGCCATTTGGTTATTTATCTTACAACCGTCTCCTGTAGTGTAATGAACCACATCTTGTCAGCATACCACCTTAAATAAATGCAATATCAGGGCCATTTCTCATGAGCTGCTCTGTGCCTGCACGTCTCCACTGGGGTTTCCTCTTCAGAAGAGCTTATTCACTAAACATCTAGCCACAACTCCACACCCACTGGTCCAACTTATTTTTCCTGTGTGAACACGTGCAACGCGCCTTTAGGCCTTCTAGTTATATGTATGTGTGTTGGGGGGTGGGGGTGGGGGGCAGCAGGTTCCTTTAACTGTGATGGGCTGCTATAACTCGTCCCTGACACATGCACACACACAAACTGACATTCATAAATGGACAGCATGGATTTTTAAATTATAGCTGGCATCGTGCATACATATAAACGTGGATTTGAGTGCACTATGCCTTTTCAAAGCTATAAATATCACATTCAGATTACCTGAATATTGGGTACATTGTTTGTTCCCGGGGAATTTTATATAATTCTTTAAGGTGCAGAGACCCAGGCTACTGGCAGTATGAGGCCATGCTTTTTTTGGGCCAAGACATGATCCTCAGTCTCTGGAATAAGAAGAACAACTCTCAAAGAGTACTCGGGAGATTTTGCGTAGTGAAAAGTTAGTCTACTAAAACTGCCTGGCTTGAACTCGATGTACTGTGCAAGTCTAACATCTCACCACGACGCTGCTGTTTTGGTTGGATAATATACCCAGAAAAACGTATTGCTCTTCTGACTGTAAAGATATCGTAGCCTGTAGCTCAACCTCCAGACCGCTACCAGTAAACCAGTGCTTCAAACTGATAAATCCGCCATATGTTAAGGCATCGTGTAACATGGCATATATAACACGTCCACATATAAACCAAGCTTTTGCGTAAACGTTTTACGCCTGAGGATAATTACATTTACGCGTGTTCTAGCGCTGTCTTGCACGTACGTAAGCACGTCCTACAAATCACATATCCTAATCGTCACACACCTATTACAAGCGTCTCTGTAGGTAAAAAAAAAAAGTTTAGGCTATATTTAAGAAAGGAAATGTACACATTTACTGACTGTGCGAATGCGACGCTGCCTTAAACTTTTTAGCTCGCTGGTGCGCTCAGTTACGCGCGGTCACAGTCCATCTGTTCAGGATGTGACTGGTAAAATAAGGTCTCCTTGGATAGACTAATGCTCCGCGATGGGGGGATGTTTTTCAGACTGCTGTGTGCACGTTTTACACAATTAAAGTACTGACCTGTGTGCGTCCTCTTGTGAATCTTTAAATTCTCCGATCGAGCGAACACTTTTCCACAACCCGGGAAAGGACACGGGAAGGGCTTCTCTCCGGTATGAACTCGGATATGATTTATCAGTTTGTACTTCGCTTTGAAAGCCTTCCCTTCTCGGGGACATTCTTCCCAAAAGCAGACGTGACTGCTCTGCTCCGGTCCCCCGACGTGCTCCACCGTGACGTGGTTGACCAGTTCGTGCATGGTGCTGTAAGTTTTCGAGCAGGGCTTCTTTTGACTTTGCTCCTGGTCAATCCATTTGCAGATTAGCTCTTGCTTTATGGGCTGCCGCATGTATCTCAAAAACGCCCCCGCCGCTCCGTGAGGAGCAGAAGCGATGTTCACATTGAGGTTCATGGAGTTGTAGCTGTGGAGAGAAGAGGGTCCATAGTGCTCTGGCCTGTGCCCGAAGTGCTCTGGCCTGCCGTAGATGTCGCCCGGAATACCCAGACGCATCTGCCCGTTGAGGGCATGATGGTGGTGGGCACCTGGGGATGCCTGATCGTGAAGTCCAGTGAAAAGTGAATGGGCCCCACTTTCTGTATGCCCATAAGCACCTGTTGGGGAGATGAACATGCCATGGTGATGAGGGGAGGAGGCGGAACTATGCTGGTCGCCAAGTGCATGCATAGCAGAGGCTGAGAGTTCTCTCCTGAGGATGAAGTCCCTGCTGCTTGAGTAGCCTGAGTGGGGGTGAGCCACGGGGAAACCAACTGTGGTCTGAGCAGAAGTGAAAGATGCCGCGGTCTGGGCTTCGGGATGGCTCTGAATGTGCTGAGATGGGCTAAGTTTGAGAGCATTTGTCTGTGCCATGTGCTCTGGTCCAAATGGAGTGAGTGCCACTCCAGGGTCGTTGCCCAGCTCCCCAGGGTGGAGGTGTGCATGGTGGGAGAGAGGGTGATGCCCCCCTAGCCCCGGGAAGCCTGTCATATTCTGATGAGGAAGGGGTTGAGTCGCTGCCAAATCCGCTAATCTTATCGCTGGATTCCTCTTGCTTAAAGGGGGCTCCATAACTACACTGACAAGTCCATCCGCACTCACCGCAATTGTTTTTCACCACACCACGCTCTCTAAAACATAAGGAGAATATGTATATAAGGGGTCTATAAGTTCTTTTGTCCGGCTTCTAACTCTGCTTGCTCCTTTTCCCACTCTGTCCTCAAGCGATTGGCAGAACATACAACAGTTGGAGGACACAGTGGGGAATACAGTTTAGAAATGGCACTGCGGGTATTGGACGGATTTCGGTGACTGGCAGTTAGAAGAACGAAGCGATTGGCTGTCGTTCAGCGCAGGGGCTCAGCAGGGTTCCGCCCCCTCACTCTCTTTATCGCTGTTGACTCCAAAAAGTTGTACTCACAAAGTTACCAGCAGATCTGTTTATGCGGCTTTTTGTTTACTGGTGCTGGTGCATGTGGATGACCGAAATGTCAGTTTATATGACAAGTGCGCCTTAGTTTATCTCTGGTTTGGTTTGTCCATTTGCCTTGCTGTTGAGTTTGTGTCGCTGCTGTAGGAAAAAGGAAAGGAAAGCTCGCTGCCGGTGCATGGCTGAATGAGACTAAGATGTGGAGGAAACTCGAAGTTAATTTGGTATTTTAATATTCTTTGATTATCAAGAAGCATTTTGAGAACATGCAGCTGAACACCCCCCTAAGAAGGAAATGTAAAAAAAAAATTATACAAATGATCTATTATCTAAGAAAATACAAAATAGCAAAAATGAAAAGTAAATAAAACCATCCAGAGAATAGTTCTCTCTGCCTTGATGGGTCTTGGAAATGCCCTTCATTTGAACCTATTCTCCCTGTAACGGTTTATGTGGATATGATTCTTTTTCTATGCTGAAAGAAAATAATATTACTTTTGCACTTTAAAGTGAGTTTGGGGTAGTGTAGACTGTCAGTGTAGTCATGTTGATGTTGGAAAAAACACTAAAAATACCTTACATTCTTATTAGTTTACAGATTTGTTTTATAATGTCCCAATAAAACCTTCCCTTAAAATAATTATTGGATTAGATATATTTCAGTGTCAGACGCACCTTTGTGAAAGAGAGCATTCAACAGTAAACTAAGACACGAGTATTACAGTATTACACTATTTTTAAGGCACATCAGTTAAACATTATTTACCAGTTCTATTTATAAGGAGTTCAGCACAACACTTGTGTAACTTCACATGACAGGTCACGCCATTTGAATGACAACAAGACGTGTGTTTGTCATTGATATGTCTTAATTCCGACACCTTTCCAATAGGTCCGTCATAGCTGGCTCCCAGCATGACGTCATCTTGTAGTGCAAAGTTTTTGTAAGTTGAACAGGACCTGGCCTTAAAACTAAAAACCTAGAATGAATCCACACAATGGAAACGAAGGGTAATTGATTTCCATTGTGCTGCAGAGAGAAGGATTTACACGTTGCGGGCCTGTTGCACATGCTCCTCTCTGGAAAGTGATTTATGATCTTGATAAGGAGCAAGTGAAGCGCAGGCTTTGAACGGACGTTTTACGTAAAGTCTCCTGAAATCGCGATAACACAACTTAATTTTACAACAGAAATAGCAGAGTAAAACAAACACATAACCGTCTGCATTTAGAAACGGATGTTTCACTTAGTGTTGACATTTTATTGTTTTAATAGCTTTTTTTGTTTTGCATGTTCAATACTGGTTTGTGTCAAATTCCGTATTTTTATTAGAATTTAAAATGTACCAAAAATAAATGAATAAATAAAAATCATTCATGGCTACATGTGCCCGTTGCCTCGGGGATTTTGGTAAATAAATAAAATATAGCCTGCTTCAAAACACAGGAGAAGCCGTGAGTCCATTGCTTATGATACACGTTGAATTAAACACAACATGAAGTAGGACCAGATTCATACAAGGACAAATTATAATCCAGCTCCCCAAAACTAAAACAAAAAATCACATTTTGTAATGTTATGGAAACTAATTAACATAACATTCTGCTCTTAAAACGTTTAAAGTAATAAAGGAAACTGAGGTTTGAACTTTCTTGAAGGAATGGGTTAATTTTTATTGACTTATGGTTTCCTAATGACCTAAAGCTGTCGGTACCTCAGACGAAAGAGGGGGACGTCTTCGAGCCCTCTCTCCCTCTAAAACAAAGACGCTTTGTCATAAGTGGAGTTATTTTACCAAATGGAGTCAAGAGGGCAGCGTATGTGGTCTTAACAGGTCATAGGTCAAACATCCATGAAACACAAGGTCACTGATGCCACACAAGTAACTGTCCAGTGTGTCAACATATTGATATTGTCAGGAGAAATATGCCTTTGGTCCCCATCGTAACACACAGGCGCAGCGCCCATGTGACTTTATTCATAGTTACTGCGTAAAAGTTGCTGCTTTTGCTAGGTCTGGCTTCATATCATGTTGTGAGTGATATTTCATGTCATTTATATTTTACATCTGCGGGCCACATCCTAGTGGACATTGGTGCTCCTAAACCTGTTGAAGTGCTGCTCTTTGGGGGATTTTCAAAAGGCTAGAGCCCCTTTCTCTTGCTAACAGAAGAGAAAACCCGCAGCCATGCGCCTCTGCTCGATTGATTTTTTTTTTCTTTTTAATTTCTTTCACTTTTTTCCCCGATCTGGGGAAGGTTTTGTGGTTTTCTGGGGAAATAAAGAACTTCTTCTAGGGGTCGGCAGACGTGACTTTGAACTTGGATCAGCTCCTGCGTTTCCTGTGGTGCGGGTTGAAATAGACTTGGAAGAATGGCACACAACGCTCGGCCTGTCCCACTTTGAGCTAAGAGACTCACATTTTCCAAAAAGTTTTAAAAACCTTTCCCCTTGCCTTCACCGTTGTTTGTCGCTTAAAGAGCACCGGAGAGCTGAGAGGGGCAGAGAAACCGGAGAGCTCCTGGGATTTTGATTAGGTGAAAATGTAAGTAAATTTCCTTTGACTTGCACTCGAAGGAGCAGCTTTGCTGTTTGGCTTTGACTGGTCCGGTTTGGACGTAGATTTAGTAAATGTAGGAAATGAAGCAAATGGGAACCTAAAAGAAAACGTGAGTTAACTGTGTTAAAACACTGACTGTATTGATGCAGTCTATTGTTTTCCTGAAGGCGTCGTTTTTGGTGCTAAAACAAAACAGATCAATGCTCATCATAGCATCTTCACTCACTATCAACTAAAATCACGCCTTTTATTGCTAAAACTTTATTGTGGGGAGTTCAGGGACGGCTCGGTGTCATCGGTCACTAATGGTTTACTTGGATCTAAGCACAGTTCACCACCATAACATGGAACTTAATTAGTGTGGTGGATGTGAGAACCACTGAGGAAGCAGAACCAGCAACATATGGAGCGGTTAAAAGAACCAGCAACCACTGGTGGCTGCCAGTGAGAGCACTGGAACACCACTAACCAGTGAGAGCACTGGAACACCACTAAAGGCCCAGTTGTGGTTCTGCAATGAAAAACCGCTGGACTCCATATGACGCCACAGCGCTTTGCAGCTGTGAAGAATTAAGTGGCTCGGAAGTTTGGTTTGATTTGAATAATTCGAATACCATTTTATTTTGTAATTGACTATTATGATTTAACAGCGTTTCAGATCAGTCTGGCTTGAAATGGAGCGGTTTATTAGGATTTGTACTAATACATAAAAAGGTGTTTCAGAAGGACAGTGAGTTTATTTAAAGGTAATTGTTTTTAAAAGTTTAATTTGCATTATTAAATCAGCCCACCGTGCGTTTTGTCGCGCATTCAGTTGACTATATAAATAGACTCGAGGTTAATAATGTGATTGGAAGTCATTTTAACTCGCTTCTCCATTGATACCGACATGGGGATTGGACATTTTATGTTATTACAAAGCGTAGTCTCATTTTGCACATCATGTTATTTAATTGTATATTTAATAGCAGGGCTCCTCGCCGTTTATGACAGCGTGGTCGTATTTTTCAAATGTAAATCACAAAAAAAACTGTTGCATTACACGTTTGTGTGATTTACACTTGGACTGAATTCATAACCAGCTACCTAACCCATCATGTATTTTCCCAGATCTCTCTCTTTCTCTCTCCTCAGTCTTATTATTTCTCAAGTGTTTTATTTTATCTTTTATACATTCTACAACTTGGCACCTACAGAATATAAACAACACAAACATGTTCGCTCCTCTCTCTTGTCGTGATCCTGTGTACCCCCCAAATGTTCTCCTAAAAGTAGGCGGCAATTATGAGTGGAAAATGGCGTTGCGCTATTAAGTCGCCAAGGCTCTACCTACTATTGGAGGGGCACCTGGGATTGATGAGGCTCAGTGGCCAATGAGACTGCGAGGAACGAATGAACGGGCTCCAGTAAAAGGGGGCGGAAGAGGAGGTAGAGCCAGTCCACGGAGAAACAGGGACCCTCTGCGATAAGCACAGGCGAGCCAGAGAAGTAAATACATGCCCAATCGGAACAGCGATTTTTGAGATGCTCCAACTATTCGCGCTCAGTGTATGCAGAGGACATCTAGTAAGATAATTATTTAATTCTTTGAGTGCATTTTCACTGACGCAGTCAAGGAGAGGACACGAGGAAACTCTTCGTTACATTTGGATTCTCCGGTCACAAGTTAACTAGAAATAAATTCAGTGTTTGATCAGCCGAGCAGGTTTTATTTCCTTATGAGCGGAGCAGCGTTTTGAATCGCGCCTGATATGGTGGTTCCAAGGTTGGAAGTTGAGCCGTTGCGTATCAGCATCAACGTTTGATTTTTGTTTTTAACTTATTCGCTGTAACTCTGCGCCCTCTGATTTAAACAAAAACAGTGCTTTCTGAAAAAATGTTACTGGATGCCGGTCACCAGTTCCCCGGACTGGGAGTGGGCTCATTTGCCAGGCATCACTCGGCGAGCGAGATGCAGGAGAGAGACTTGAGTTTGGCACAAAATAGCTTTGTAGACTCCGCACACATGGGTGCGTTTAAGCTGAACCATGATCTCTCTCCGGGACAGAGCTCTGCTTTCACCACCCAGGCGCCTGGCTACCCCGCTGCGGCTTTGGGGGCTCACGCTGCCCATGTCACGTCGTATGCAAGCTCTCCGTTCAACTCCACCAGGGACTTTCTCTTTCGCAGTCGTGGCTTTGGAGAATCCTCTCCGGCGAGCAGCCAGCATACTATTTTTGGCCCCACGGCGGGATCCCTTCATCACTCCCACACAGACACTCAAGGCCACATTTTGTTCCCGGGGATCCACGACCAACATGGGTCCCACGGATCCGCCAATGTCCTGAACGGGCAAATGAGGCTCGGACTACCAGGAGAAGTTTTCGGGCGCACCGACCAATACCACCAGGTCTCCAGCCCGAGGACCGACCCCTACTCGGCCGCGCAACTCCACAACCAGTACGGCTCCATGAATATGAACATGGGGATGAACATGGCAGCCCATCACCACCCCGGTGCCTTTTTCCGCTACATGAGGCAACAGTGCATCAAGCAGGAGCTCATCTGCAAGTGGATCGACCCCGAGCAGCTCAGCAACCCAAAGAAGTGTTGCAACAAAACTTTTAGCACCATGCATGAGTTGGTCACGCACGTCTCGGTGGAGCATGTCGGCGGCCCGGAGCAGACTAACCACGTCTGTTTCTGGGAGGACTGTTCACGGGAGAGCAAACCGTTCAAGGCGAAATATAAACTGGTGAACCACATTCGGGTGCACACCGGGGAGAAGCCCTTTCCATGCCCCTTCCCCGGCTGTGGAAAAGTCTTCGCACGGTCGGAAAACTTGAAGATACACAAGAGAACGCATACAGGTAATTACAACAACAATGTGAATGCTTTTATTGATTTTATTTAAATAGCATTATTGATGTTATTTTTAGGCTGAAGCGGACTGTGCGTTTATTTCGCTGTGGTAGATAGTGCGTGTTCCTTGCCAAGACAAATTAAAATCTATTTTGCGGCTATTTTGGGCAGCTGAGGTAGATGATGAACGAAGACTGGGGACCATATTCAGGAGGGAAGAAATAAGTTTAGAACTGTGGATTCTTTTATTTTCTATGCGTTTATATTAAGCACATAAAATTTTTTTTTACAATTCTTCTAGTGAAAAACATTTCTCCAAAAGTATAGAAAGCAATTTGTTGACGCTGTATTGTTTGGGATAAACTTTAAAAACGGGTCAACGCAGACTGTGGGAGCGCGTCGAGCATCCTGCCAGGTAGTAAATCATTTCATATGGTTTCATGTAGTTTATCCACAAAGCTGCGCTTTGTAACTCACGTCGATTCCTGTTTTCTCATCGTGATTTTCCTACTTTGGCCTTAAATGAAGTATTTTCACGTACGTCTGAACCGATTTGTACTTCACGATTGTGTAGGAGTAGCGTGTTGTGGTGCAGATTTAGCCGAGCACAGCAGTAGTAGCAGTGTTTATGCATGAGGAATGCCTTTTGTTTTCTTCTGCGTTCCTTTGATAGGAGCTAAGGTGCTAGACAGGGCCATTACCAGCCTTTCACGTTTGGACTTATTTTCCTGGGGAAATGCATTGTGGTGCCGTGCCATGAAACTGGTCAGGTGCTAATTAGATTTTTACTGTCTCCCAGCAAATGGTCCGCCTTCTGTAGGCCTACTGCGGACGGCCTGGCCCCCTCTCCCACTCCCTCCGAATCATTATGCGCATTATTTAGGCTCGATCAGTTGTAGCAACTCTTATCACAGTCTGAATCATGATATGCCCTGTTTAAAAATGTTATAGCTGTGATTTTTTAGGAAATGCATTCATAACACTCTACGCTCAACCTTTGCATGTGAATTGTACGCATGTAATAATCTGCACAGCACACACTCAGCCCTGAGGCATTTCTCAGTAAAAAAAAATATTTGTGTTTCTTCTTGTTTCTCGCGTTTTTTCCTGCAGGAGAGAAACCGTTCCAGTGTGAGTTTGAGGGCTGCGACAGAAGGTTTGCAAACAGCAGCGACCGAAAGAAACACATGCATGTTCACACGTCGGACAAGCCTTATCTTTGCAAAATGTGCGACAAGTCCTACACACATCCCAGCTCCCTAAGAAAACACATGAAGGTAAGCTCTTGGTGTCAGGAAGTGTGTGCTGAACACTTTACAGTATGTCTGAGTCAGGCCTGCATAATGTTATGTTTATTATATTAACACATAGCTGGTAATAGTAGCTGGCTTTCTAAATAATCAATTCACAGGCTTATTTTTGTCCAGCAGATTTTAAATCCCTGTTTGTGTTTTTGTTGCCCCAGGTCCACGAGTCCTCCCCATCAGCATCAGACTCCTCACCAGCAGCCAGCTCTGGTTATGAATCCTCCACACCTCCAGGCCTGGTGTCTCCCACCACCGAGACCCAAAGCAACACCACCCTGTCCCCAGCCTCAGCCGTCCACAACCCCACCAGCCACAGTGGCCTATCCTCCAATTTCAGTGAATGGTATGTTTAGGACTCAACTGAAATGAAGCAACACACACTCATTTCACAGCACTGGACCATCCAGCAGGAGAAGAGGCACACAAACATTTGTTTATTTTTTATGTTTTTATTTTTGAGGGAAGACGGCGAGCAAAAGATGTCTAACAGTTGAGGTGTATTTCATATTGTAAATAATTACTAAAAGCCCACATTCCCATTGGTTGTGATAGTTTGTCAGTCTTTGGTGTATAGATGTTTCTTCAATGGTAGCTATTTCACTAACTGGACTTTTAGTGCACATATTACAATACAATTGTACTATAATGTTGAATATTGTGATCCTAAGGCAAATTGATTGTACTATACTAAACATCTATAAACTGGAAAGCGTGCCAAAGTTAACATTTAACTCAATCAGACCACAATATTATGCTTGTGAATGTATATTTTAGTTTGCTGGGCTTAACTTGTGATGTTTTGTGCTTTGCAAGTCTGAATTGTGAAATACTATCTGGAAGATTGTGAGGAAAATAAACGTTGTGCCGTTCGATTTTCTGTAACTACACCCTTCCTTTTGTAAATATCAACTGCCATATTTATCCATTTGTAATTAAATTATGGTATTTACTTGTTACAGATGAAACAGTATTTATAAAGAATGTTTCTTTACTATAAATATGTACAATTACGAGCTAAACATGGGCAGTTGTTTCGTTCTGTGCTTTTGTTCAAAGTTTTAAGAGGTGTTTTCTTCCTTATTGTGATAAGAATTTTACTGCATACAAATATAATAAAAGGTGTTGCAAGTGTTAAATATTTGCTTAGCTGTTTCATGCTTTATTTCGTTCGTCGGAGTTTAGCCAGGTACATCTTGTTTGGGAGGCATTTGTTCTGTTTTGGATTTATTCGGGCGTTCTCAGGAACGTGTATGAGCTCAGGTTTTATAACTTAGTCAGCAACTCTTGATAAATTGGTCTATCGACTAAAGCTCGTTAGTGTTTTACCTTAAGCTTTGCAAAGTATTCTTACAGGCCCTGAACATTGTTGTGGTGTAAGTAAGCAAGAGGTTTACTGTCAGGGGCTTATTGGAGGAAATTACAAGAATGAATTCAGCTAATCATCACTTGCGGTTGAGTTTTATTGGTTTTAATTTAAACGGAGACGATCCAACTGGGCATTTTCATTGTGCACACTCAGTACATCCATGGCTTGCGCACATGCCACTGTGTTCATATAGGGGAAAAGGGCTTTCTCTTCCATAAATCATCTTGTCTCTTGATGTTTTCTCAGGTCAGTCCCTGAGTTCAGTCGGTGAATGTGCCCCCCCCCCCCCCCCCCCCCCCA